CAGTTCCAAGTACTTTACAACTACTAGTTTATTTTATTACCATAACCATCCTATGAAATGACTGAAAGGAAAAGTTTCAGCTCAGGACCCCCAAGGCCAAGTTCTCAGCACAAAGAAGATTTATTTGCCCCAGAGGGACAGAGGGCAGGGAATAAGAGACGAACACAGGACACAGAGGATGTGTGAGCAGGGGAAGGGAAAAAGGGAGTGGCGGCAGAGGTATTTGCCCCTGGGAGCGCAAAGGACTGCCTCTGGATAGAGAGACCAGACATGGCCCGTGGGCAAATGGGGCTTTATAAAGGTAAAATGGGAAACCTGTGTTAGGATCAGGTATTTAATTTTAGTTGTGCATGGTAGTTAAATGAACCAAAGGGGGCTTTGATTGCTGGACTTTGATAGTCACCCTCAGGAGGAGGAAGTGGCCAGCTAAGGGCCTGGACCTTGGTGGCCAGCTTTTTGGAACGCAATCTAACAGCTTTCAGCAAGGCAGAGAAAATGGAGGAGAGGGCTCCGCTTGCCAGAGCCACATGCTCCAGGGGGCTAGAGTCCCTTCAGTAAGAACCCTCTCTGTCTTGCAGATGAGCAAACTAAGTGCAGAGAAATGGTGGAGTCAGGACTGAACCCAGATTTTAAACCATGCTACAGCCAGGTGGAGTTTGTTGTCATGTCAATTGCAGGTGGTCTCTGAAACATATTTGTTACTTGGTAACTTACTGTTTGTGCAGGGGAGCCATAGGGTATTTCTGACAGTGTTTCTGATCCTGACTTGGTTATTGTCCTCGTCTTAGCTTTCCCCTCTAGCCAATCTCCTTAACTCATTATTTTTTCTTTATGTACTGCTGCATTTTTCCAAGTTTGCACCACAGCATCATGAAATACCTAAGTAAATAAAATAAAAATTTCCAAGTCTTTATGAGATGAATCCATCCATTGCCAGGGAAATGTTGTTTCAATTACCGAAGCCTCCTGTGTAGTCCCAGTTATGTAGCTAATGGCTCACTTTCCACATCCTCCTTTCTCTGACAAAGTCAGGTCTGTGTGGACTAGAAAAAGACAGAAAGAAATGAAAATGCCACCTAAGTCTTTCAGTTTCCTACTTAAAATGTCAGCGTCTCTAGAGACACATTCCTGAGTTTCCAGTCCATGTCTGCCCTAATTGGCCACAGAAGTGACAGAATTCCAGTCAGGATGTGTCCGGCGGGAGTCTGAGCACGCAGGCTATGGGCTGGCTGGGCTGTGAATGGGTGGGGAAACGGAAAGTTCTTGGCTGTATAGGCGAAGAGTCAAGACCAAGATTCCAAGCTGAGCATGGGGTGATGGCAGGTCAAGAGCCTTAAAAGGGAAAAAAACAAATAGAAGGAGGACAGAGTCTAGAAGATGCAGGTTGGGGGCCGGGGGACAAGAATGAAAGCAGAAGGCTAGCATGGGATCCCTGGGCCTCCTATGGGCCAGCCTGGTCTACTTTCCTTGCTTCAGCGTCCGCCTTTCACCCAGCTCCTCGAGTCTCCATTCCAGAGACATTAATAAAGTATTGTCTGCCCTCCTGCTGTGATAACTCCTTTCACACACCCACCTACAGTGCCCTTGCTCTTACCTCTGCCCACCTGACAAAGTGTCATTCACTTTGCCAGGTTCTGCTTAAACGCCTTCACCATAAAGCTTTTTCTGTCCTGTCATACCTTGTCCCCGCTCATTCATTTGTTTATTTGTTTGTTTGTTTGTTTGTCCTTTTCCAGCTTGTGTCTATTGCCACATCTCACTTGGCCTTCTCAGCACCAATAACAGCATGCATTTGCACTATGCCTCTCTGGTGTGATAACTGCTACATTGCTGTTTTCTTAAATCAAGTTTATAAAATACAGGTTCCCATGTGCCATGTTGTTAATATACTTGGTATCTTAATGGATGCCTCTCACATGGGGGTCATACCCAGAATCCTAACCTCCTAAAAGGCCTGTGATCTTCAGCACACCTCTAGCACTGTACTGGAGGTAAGAATTAAGCCCAGATAGCTTTGTTTCTGCTCTCAGCAGCAGAGTGTACATTTTAGTTAGGGTTTCTATTGCGGTGAAGAGACACCATGACCACAGCAACTTTTTTTTTTTTTTTTTGGTTTTTTTTTCGAGACAGGGTTTCTCAGTGGCTTTGGAGGCTGTCCTGGAACTGACTTTGTAGACCAGGCTGGCCTCGAACTCACAGAAATCTGCCTGCCTCTGCCTCCCGAGTGCTGGGATTAAAGGCGTGCGCCACCAACGCCCGGCGACCACAGCAACTCTTATGAAAGAAAGCATTGAATTGCGGCTGGCTTACAGGGTCAGAGGTTTAGTTCATTGTCATCATGGCAGGGAGCATGGCATCATGGAGGCAAACATGGTGCTGAAGACAGCAGGAAGAGGGAGCCACTGGGCCTGGCTTGGGCTTTTGAAACTTCAAAGCCCATGCCCGGTGACATGCTTCCTCCAGTAAGGTCACCCCTACTCCAACAAGGTCAGACCTACTCCAACAAAGCCACACCTCCTGGTCCTTCTCAAGTGGTGCCACTTCCTGTGACTAAGCATTTAAATATATGAGCCTATGGGGGCCACTCTTACTCAAACCACTACAATGTGCTAACCTTTACCACTGTGACTCAGAATTCTGAGGGATCTTATAGGGGGAGGGGCGTTTGCTCACTTGTTTATTTGTTTTGAAACAGAGTCTTACACTGTATTCCAGGTTGGCTTGGAACACACTACCTAGCCCAGGCTGGTTTTCAACTTGTGTGATCCTCCTATATCAGCCTCCCATGAGCCACTATAGCAGGCAGCTATGAAATTATCTTTTCATTTTTTGCTGTTTTGGTTTGGTTTTAGTACTTTGTCAAGATAAAGAAGTTCTGTCCTGATTCCTAGTTTGTTATTCATTTTTATCGTGAAAGGTTATTGAATTTTGTTTTCAAAAATTAAATCCACTGGCTGGGCGTTGGTGGCGCACACCTTTAATCCCAGCACTTGGGAGGCAGAGGCAGGCAGATCTCTGTGAGTTCGAGGCCAGCTTGGTCTACAAAGCAAGTTCCAGGACAGCCTCCAAAACAATACAGAGAGACCCTGTCTCAAAAATCAAAAAAAAAATTTAAATCCACTGGATGATTATATAGTTTTTTCTCTTTATTTTATTAACATAGTAAAATCTATGACTGATTAAAAAATATTAAACAAGGGATGGAGAGATAGCTTAGCAGTTAAGAGCACTTGTTGCTCTTACAGAAGACCCAGGCTCAGTCCCAGCTCTCTCAGAGTGGCTCACAACAGCCTGTAGCTACAGTTCCAGAATATCTGATGCCCTCTTCTGACCTCCACAGACACCATCCATGCATGTGATGCACACGTATACCTGCAGGCAAAACACCTGTACACATTAAAAAAAAACTTGTCTTCTGAAGGCTGTCTCCATTGCTATAGATTCATATGTGCAACCACCCTGCTATGTGCAGAAAGCAGTTTCCTTGTAGTCATGTGCACCTATGGCTTCCATAGTCTTTCCGCCCCTCTCCTCCACCATGCCCCCTGAGCCTTGGTGAAGGAGTGCAATACAAATAGTCTGCACTTCATTCTCTGCACCTTGACCAGTTGTGGGTCCTCGAGTTAGTCGCCATCTACCTCAAAAAAGAAGCTTCTCTGGTGAGGGCAGAGATACACTCTAATCTATGGGTATAAGGATGAGTCATTAGGAGTTGATTTAACACCATGTCCACTTAGCAGAATCATAGAAGTAGGTTCTCCCCTAGGGCCTATGCTCTATCTAGCCACAGATTCCTGGCCTCAGTGATGATGTCAGGGATGGGTTTCAACTTATGAAATTAGCCTTAAATCCAATCAGAGTCATTCCTTCCTTTTGTGACATCTGTGCTGCTACTATACCAGTCGATGTGTCTTGCCAGACCAGTCATTGTCATAGACCACAGGAGTCACAGCTGAGAAAGACTGGCGACTACTTCTCTCTTCTCTCTCTCTCTCTCTCTCTCTCTCTCTCTCTCTCTCTCTCTCTCTCTCTCTCTCTCTCTCTCTCTCTCTCCCCCTCTGTAAACCCTGCCTGAGCAGTTGAGCAGTTTGTCAGAGACTTTGCTGTTAATTATCCTCTAATTTCTCCTATGATCCCCTCAATTATGTACATGTAGAAGTATATTGTTTTATTTTCACATATTCATGAATTCCCATAGATCATGTGGCAGAGACTACTCAGTTGTGATAGACAGGAAACAGAGTGAGTGACGGAGAGTGGGACCCAAGGCAAGATCTAACTTCCAAGGACACTCCCCTAGGTGACCAAATTCCTGCAGCTAAGCCCCACCTCCTAAGGTTTCTAGCTTCTCTCACTTGGTTCTACCTACTGAGGACCAGTATTTCTTTTTTTTTTTTTTTTTTTTTTTTTTTGGTTTTTTGAGACAGGGTTTCTCTGTGGCTTTGGAGGCTGTCCTGGAACTAGCTCTTGTAGACCAGGCTGGCCTCGAACTCACAGAGATCCGCCTGCCTCTGCCTCCCGAGTGCTGGGATTAAAGGCGTGCGCCACCAACGCCCGGCTGGGGACCAGTATTTCTACACACAGTCTATGGGAGCTATTTCGGGTCCAAACCATAGCAAGAGTACTGGATGCTGCAACAGTTGCTTCTCTCCTCCTGGTTCCTTCCTTGCATGGAGGAGATAAAAAGCATAAAAGCTAATCAAACCGAATTTCTTCCTTGTTTCCTTCCAGTTTCCAAAGGTCCAAGGTATGCTTAGCTTGTAGTTTCTTTTCCTGGATGCATTGTACTAAGGAGATGCATCTCTCACCACAAGCAAAGCTAAATGGTTGTTTTGTTCCTCCCTGTTCCCTGCGCCTCCCTCTGAAGCGCCTCACTCCGAAACTGGTCACGCTTCATTAATTGCACCCTGCATTTGTTCAATGGCCATCCCACTGATGGCAGACCAAGGCAGTGCTGGCCTAGGTCACAGAAGTTTCTACCTGCTATCACAAACACGCACCTGACCTTCTTGCAGGGTTTGTATTGGTGCCACTTTTACTCCTGTCAGCCAGAGGTCAGCAACCATACCCGCTTCCTTCCCTTTGGTATCCATATGCTGTAACTAGAAGAAAACCAGTAGAATTGTAAATACGCTGGGGGAGGATGGCCTGACTCAGGCTGAACTTGGCGTATGGGATGCCATTCAAACCTGCCCCGTCCACACCTGCTCTGAAGAGAAGGAGCCCACTTCGTAAAGTCTAAGCCACATCCTATGGCAAAATCTCCAGTCACAGCATAAACATAGACATCTTTTCACAAACTGTGTATTAGCCAGCATTCTTGTTGATGTGAGCGAACACCTGGCAAGGAAAAACTTGAAGGAGGAGAGATTTATGCGGTCTCACAGTGAGGCGATACAGCATGGTGGGGAATATACCCGGCAAGGAGGCTCAGAGCAGCAGAAACACAAGGCTACTTGGTCACATCTTGGTGGGCCAGGGCAGGAATCCAGGCCAGACTCTAAGCCTCTAGTGATCCACTTCCTTGGGCTAGGCCCTACCTCCTAAAGGTTCCCTCCCTCCCCAGACAGCTCCACCAATCCGGAACCACAGCAAATACATGAACCCATAGGAGACTTTCTACATTCACTCCATAATATCTTCCTTCTGGTAAGTTTAGCAACTCATGCTGTTTTCCTTAGACCCAGCCAAAGCATATTAGAAAGAACTCAGCAGTTATTAAGCGCTATTTCCCTTGAGGACCCTAAAGGCTTCTGGTTTTGAGATGTTCCCAAGTAGTGCTTTTTCTCAGCCTCCAATACCTGCGGTGGCAGTTAGCCACACCCAGCGTAAGCACAATTGCTTGTCCTAACAGATCAACCCATAACTTAGCTAACATCCTTAGACTTGGGCCCTGGACCTCAAACTCTAGTGCGGTGAACCACTACCCAGGGGGAAATGCTGGAAACCTGTTCTAAACAGGAGCCTTAAAGTTCAACTTCCTTCCTGCCCATTTTCTCCAGATGCTTCTGGGAATTGATAAATTAACATTGCCATCTAATACCGACATATTTATTTCTCTTCCAGAGCTTCTGACAATTTCTTTATGTCTCAAGCCCATAAGTTTTGAAACATTCTATAAAATTGTTTCAATAACAACAATGAAAATCCAAGGAGAGGGAGGGGACAAAGCAAGCCTCCTCAGTCCTCCGACAGTAGCAGAGACTTGGCTGTTGTCTTAGATCAGTCAACTCTGAGTCCAGTATCCTAAGGCGTTCTGTGTACAGCACACAGACATTCTTAGCAAGTACATGGTGTAACATGTATGACTCTTCTTTAATGATGAGCTACAAGAAACCACACACCATGACCCCTAGCTCGCTGCCTCAGTGGAAAGATATCTCATGCTTAGTCAAGTCTTGGGCAGGTGGTTGACATTATCAGTTTGTTTAGGACTGAGAGGTTTCCTGGGTCACAGGACAATCGTTCCTAAATATAGACCAGTCAGAAGAGTGGATCATGTGAAGTCTTAGACAAACATCCTTTACAAGCTTCCCCTCACTCTATTATAAATGCCAAGAGGACAGAGTATATCTAGTGAGTTCTGCACACCTAGTAAGTATTCAATAAAATAAATCTTTATATGTGTGAATGCTTTGCCTGCATGTATGTGTGTGTATCTCATGAACACCTAATGCCCATGGAGATCAAAAAAGGGTGTCAGAACCCCTGAAACTGGAGTTACAGATGATTGTGAGCCACCTTGTGGGTGCCAGGAATTGAATCTACAGTGTTCAATTCTGCAAGTTCTCTTCACCACTGAGCTATCTTTGCAGCTCCCGGTTCAATAAATTTTTAACAAACTTACAAATACCTGAACTGGTACAAAATAGAAGACTGAAAAAAATGATGATTGAAAGCCTGAACCCTAATCAGAAGTTACCTTGGCCAATGGGAGCTAGGCAATTGCCTAGTCTTCCCTCAGACTTATCAAGGCTATGTCCCCAGGGCAGGCAAATATCCTGACACACACATACAATATAAATATTATTTACTCCTAGCTTGATGGATTCAGTAAGCCTCAGATAGACTTTGCAACACATATTGAATCTGTTCTTCAGGTAAAAACACAACCTCTAGATACAAGCAAAATAATAGCAGCATATGAACTTTATATGGATCTCCACAATGCTTTTCACACAGTGTCTAAGGTTGCATAAGCATTCCACTGTTTGAGATTATTATTATAGTTTTAGTTAATTTTCCCATGTCCAGATCACCTATCTCCATCCATGCTTTTATTGAAGAAGCGTCATACTTACTGAGGAAGAATCATACTTCTCATCTGTCTTCATTCAAGATCTTATTGAAGAGTCACCATACTTCCAAAATTATCAGCCCATGACTGTTAACCACAAGAATAATTACAGATTTTCTTCTTGGACTTCCCTACCCCTTGCCAGAGACCACCAGACTCCATGGTGTTCTGTGCTGCATGGTTTGACGGCACTGAGTTAAGATGGTGGAGCTTTCCCTCCTCCCTCCAAGCCCCCAGCAGGTGTTAGATGCCTCCCTGTATCACTTTCCCCTGTCTTACACTGATGGTCCCTTTCCCACTGTCTTCCAAATTGCTTTTATGTTAGAATGACAAAACTAGTATGGGTTTGTTGTTCCCCATCTTGTGTAACTGGGAAACTGTTACATTTGTGCCAGATGTGATTAATGGTCTCAGCCAGCGAGAGAACATACCTTACCAATGACTATAACCATTCTGATTCCATATTTCTTGGAGATTTGTGGTTTTCCTTGCAAAGGGACCATAAAAGTTGCCTTGTTTCCATCTCGTCAAAAAGGGTGTACCCAAAAATTCATTTCTCCCTGCCTGTGTGCTAACCTCTGCTGTCTCCATGGCTTGTGACATTCACAGAGTCACTGCCCCCAGGGTCCAGCACTTCACTTTGTCCTGTGGACTGGCTAGGCTGATCTCAAGAGTCCTGTCCCCACCCACGATCTTGTTGAACTAAAACTTTCCCCTACTTACTTCCTCTTTCTCTTCTTGCTCTCTGCAAGCTGCTTCAGCATCTTCTTAAACCTTCACTGGGTATTCCAGGGGCATCCCCCACAGTCATCCATCCCATCCTAACCACATCAGTGCCAGCACCACCAGACTTTACTGCTCTCCAAATAAGACCTGGTGCTCCACATCACCCTCTACACCTCCATTTCAAGACTAGCTTTCAGAAATAGGGGTGGGGGAAAATAGCTCAGTGGTAGAGTGTTTGCCTAGCATGTGTCAGGCCCTAAGTTTAATTTGTAGTGCCACAAAAGAAATTAAAAGAAAAAGAAAGGGAGGTTGGGAAAATGACTCAGTCAGACCCGAGTTTGATTCTAGAACAACTCAAAAAAAAAAAAAAAAAAAAAACACTACATGGTGGATCCCTGGGGCTTACCAGATAGTAGTCACCTAGCCTACTTGGTGAGTTCCAGGCCAAAGAGAAACCTTGTTTAAGAAAACAGGCACGCCGGGCATTGGTAGCGCACGCCTTTAATCCCAGCACTGGGGAGGCAGAGGCATGCGGATCACTGTGAGTTCGAGACCAGCCTGGTCTACCGAGTGAGTTCCAGGACAGCCTCCAAAGCCACAGAGAAACCCTGTCTCGAAAAACCAAAAAAAAAGAAAACAGGCACATGAAAATAACCCCTAAAGTTGTCTTCTACACACACACATACACACAGAATTATAATTCTTGGAGCCAGGCATGGTAACTCATCCCAGCACAGAACATTTAAGTAGTCTAGCAAGCCTGGAGTGAGTTCTCAGATAACCTGAGCTACACAGCAAAAGCTCATCTTTGGGGCAGCAGGGAGGGGAGAGGAGGTGGCTTAATGTTATCATGTTCAATTAAAAAAAAACATTTAGGAAGAATTATAATTTTAGAAAGAATCATTCTTTTGTTTGTTTTTGTTTTCTTGAGACAAAGTCTCTTGTATAGGCCAGGCTGGCCTTGAAGTTGTGATTCTCCAGGCTCCATCTCCTGAGTACAGGAATTTAAGGTAAATAACCCCACACCCAGCTCTAAAAACAAAAAATCTGACGTGGAAGAGATGATTCATTGAGTAAAAGCACTAGCCATGCAACCTTGATCACTCAAATTCAATCCAAACACTCTGATCATTTTTATTTTACTTTATTTTATCTGTATGGGTGCCTTACCTGCATGTACAGCCATGTACCACTTGAGTGTCTGGTCCCATGAAAGCCAGAAGAAGGAGGATTGGATCCCCTGGAACTGGAATTACAGATGGTTGTGTGCCACCATGTGGATCTAGAAACTGAATCCAGGTCCTCTGGAAGAACATCTTTAATCCCAACACTCCTACAGCAAGATAGGGGTAGAGATAAGAGAATTGTCCAGAAGCTTATGGGTCTGCTAGCATACAATATACATCAGAAACAAATACCCTGCCACAACAAGGTGGAATGCAAGAACCAAATTCCAATACTTGTCCTCTGGCACATGCATGCCTGTACACACACACACACACACACACACACACACACACACACACATTACATATATATAATATACACAAAAGTGTCATTTTTCAAGCTCCACACTTAGTATTTAATATTCTATATGTAATGAACCTACTTCGAGTTTAAGAACATTTCTTAGTTTGTGTCTTCACTGAAACCTTTTTGTATATTCTCTCGAGCATATCCTAAAAAGGGCAGGAAGAGCAGTAATCATGCTATTAGAAGCTCCTCCCTTCTAAGGGCCAAAGTGAAATGCCTCTTTCCTCCTTGACACCCCAAAGAGAACACAGAATCTTCAGTTGGGGTTGTCCTCAAAACAAGCCAAAGACTGAAGATGTGTGTCCTTGTTGCAGAAAAGAGATTGGCTGCTGTTGGCCAGAGGGGAACCCCAGGTCCCCAGATACAACCAGAATGTCCCTGCCAGCAGCTTCTATGTGATCACACCATCTCCCTCTCTCACACTGCTGGTGAAGTTGGTGGCCACAAGGGAACTGATGCTGCCTGGCTTCTTCCCCCTGCTATCCGAGGACCCACCTGAAGACAGCCTGAAGATCATAGAGGCAAGTAGAGCCTGTGGCTTAGTGTTCTATTGCCGCAAAGAGACACCATGACCAAGGCAATTCTTGTAAAAGAAAGCATTTAACTGGGAGCTTGCCTACAGTTTCAGAGGCTTAGTGTGGGCTATCAATATGGCGGAGAGCATGGTGGCACACATGGCGCTGGAGCAGTGGCTGAGAGCTACATCCTAATCCTCGAGCAGAGAGACACTGGGCCTGATGTGGGCTTATAAACCGCAAGGTCCATTTCCAGTGACACGCCTCCTCCAACAAGGCCATATCTCCTAACCTGTCCAAAGTATTCACCACCTGGGGATTAGGCATGCAAATATCTGAGCCTATGGTTGTCAAGCTCATGTAAACCACCACACCATGGGACAAATAGAATGGGGCTTGAGAAGGGGGAGAGGGGGAAAAATAGGGCCAGAAAGGACAGATGGGGAACAGACGGAGTTTGTTATGGCCATTGGGAATAAAAGTGAAGACAGAATATGAAGCAGGAGGAAGTCACTGGTCTGAATAAGGCAGCAAGGCGAAAACTAATTGAGAAGGTAGCCTGACTTGAGGGAAATAAGGTTCGTGAAGGGAGAGTTGAGAGAGAAATGGGCCCTGACATAGGCAGATAATTGGGAATTAGTGCCATCCATCTTAGAGAAGACTCCGCAATCGCCGAAACGTGGATAAACATATGCAGGTACAAACATAGATATACCCCTGAAATATGATTTAAATGAGTGCCAACAAGTAGCTAGCTATGAAGGAAAAAGGGCAAGAATCCCCTAAGGGCAAGCTGACAGCAGGCAGGAGAGGAAGTCCAGGTAGGCAGCCCAGGTCCAGGTGTTGAGATTGATTTGTTTACCTCGGAGTGCCCTTTGCAAAAGCCAGCCATCAGGACCCTCCTCTCCTCTGCACTTCTGCCTTGGAGAGGAGACCATGAGGTTTTGGAGAGGAGAGGAGTTCAATAGGGAGGAAGGGATCAAAGGAGACAGCGGGCGTCATCAGAACAAAGAAATGGTGGCCAATAAGGGAGATGCCCGATGGGAAGATGAGGATTTTCGTGTCCTCAAGTGTTCCCTATGGTGCTCTAGGATGTGTGTGCCAAGCCTGTAGTCAGATGGCAGCAGTCTGTGGCCCCACCTGTGCGCCTGTGTGACACTATTTTTCTATAACATATATGTGCATGCCTGTGCACTGGCCTCTGGGGGGAAAAAGAGTAAAAAGTCTGAAACTCAGATGCAAAGAAGCCAGCAGGCCAGGAGGCAGCCCTCTTCAGCACCCCTTTCCCCTTCTCCCTTTGCTCTCCCTCCCCTCCTCCCATGTCTAGATTCTGCCTTCCTCCCCTGGGCCTCCAGGTTGGGGTGGGAGGGGAGGCTCTGGGCTGGGAGAATGGGAGCCACATTCACTGCTGGCTGGCGAGCTGAGGAGCAGAAAGGACAGAACTGGGGATTGTACTTGCTGCTTGGCAGCCACGGGGATGCAGAGGTGGGCAGGAGTGCCATGGCTCCCTCAGCGGGTCTCACTTCAGGGCCAGTGGTTCCTGGCACAGGATGTTGCGGCCGGAAAACCTAACTACTCAGGAATGCTGTACTCCAATGTCCTCCTTCTATGCCCCACTCACCTCAGGCTGGGAACTCCCTGTTCTTGCACTGGGGGCTGGAGCACCCTTACCTACATGTAACCTGAAGACACAGCCTCCCTCGGGCTCCACACTGGACCCCTTGTACCTCTCGGAGAGTTCTGGTTCTCTCAGTACCCAGTGACACTTCCTGGGGCTAGCATTGGGGGCTTCAGAGTCTCTAACCACCAGGCGTCCCATCTACTTCTATTCCTTCGCCTGACACAAGCACACCCTCCTGGAGGGGAACACCAGCAGGGCTCATCTATCTTAGCCTCAAGCGCAGTCTGGGGCCCTCAGCCTCCCCAGCCTCTCACGTACTCAGGTCTCTGCAGAACATCTCGTGCTCTGTGACCTTGAGCTCTCTGAATACGGTGCCTTCTCTCCTCAGAGCACACTGGACAGCCTGGAGCTGGGGCCCACCTACAACCCCCTGCAAGTCGGGAGCCACCTGTACTCACAACTGAGTGGCACCCATGCCAAGCCTCAGGGACGTCTCTACACCAGCTGGGAGAGCCGGGGCCTTAGAAAGGTACCTCTCCCTTGTTCCCCCGCCCTCCCCTTCAGTTAGCCTCCCGTCCCCTTTGTGCCTGAGTGCAAGGCAGCCCTTCTCCACCCTGCAATGGCACTGGCACAGAGAGAGCAGCCCACTCTCCGCACCCCCACAGGCAGAGGGGAAAAGCAAACTGAGGATGGAGAAAGAACGTGCTGAGGTGATCACATCCGGTAGCTGGGGTCGGGGCAGTGGGGGTGGGTCAGTAGGTTTTAGTTCTGTTTCGTTTCCCTGAGACTGGGCTCAAGAGTATGAGACAGTCTAGCCCAGACTGACCTTGAGTTTGCCATCCACCTGCCTCAGCCTCCTGAGGGAGGGAGGAATATGACTCATGCCATCACACCGTGGCTTAGGTATTCTAACCGTGGTGTTTATAACTCCTAGTCACCTACTAGCAGTCTTGTTAAGCAAACAGGCCACACTGGAACTACAACCACAGCCCTATCTTTGAAAAAAAAAAAGGGCTGACAGGGAGGCGGGACTAGAACTGCCTAAGGGAAGGAAAAGGAATGCTTCTAGAGTGCAAGGTGCTTGCCAGTCTCTCTAACAAGAGCTTCAGATCTGCTCAGTCTTCCCAGCACCAGCAAGGAAAGCTCGACCCCCAGTATAGACAGGTGAGGAGACAGACCTGGACTAGTAGTTCAGAATGGGCTCCATAGAAAAGGCTTGAAACCAGAAGCCAAGCTCGTAGAAAAGGCTTGAAACCAGAAGCCAAGCGCGGTGGCTCACACCTGTAATCCCAACACTCAGGAGGCTAAGGCCGGAAGACTGCTGTGCGTTTGAGGCCAACCTAGGTTACAGTGAGACCTGTCAAAAAAGGAGAGATCAGAAGGGAAACTGAAGATGAGGTGTTTCTAGGAGGCCCGTGGTCTCTTGTATTAGGGTTTCCTTTTGCATAGTGGTTTTTCCTGGTTTCTCTGTAACTGAGCATTTGGGAAAACTTCCATTTTTGTCTCAGCTAAAATTGCAGAAGGATGTTTCTAAACTCTCAAAATAGGAGCAATGACCAGATGCATAGGAGCAGAGTCCACCACGGGGGCTTGGTGGCAAGCTGACAGAGAAGGGACCCTGAGCAAGGAGATGATACTGCAGAGGCTGCAGCCTAGGAGACTTCAGCCACTAACTACCCTGGGCCTTCAGGATGTCACTCCAGGACTGAGATCTAGGAAGAAATTAGGCAGGGAGCAGTGACAGGAACTTGGGAACTGTCTAGTCTTCATAGAAAACACTGGTTGTTCTTTGCAGGCTGGACAGTCTCAGAGTAACAGAGTTCGAGCCACAGTGGTCCCCCTGCCAATGGCTCCAGCCCCAGGTAGAGCTCCCAAGACGTCAGCGGCCAGCAAAGCTTCCTCGGGAACCTTCCTGCCCTCTGATTCAGAGGAAGAGTATCCTTCTCAGACCTAAGTCCCCAGTGCCAAGACACAGCCATACCACATAGATGGCTACCTGAGAGCAATCTGCCTGCGCTCAACCTAAGCCTGTGAGCTCAGGCTAAGGGACAGCCTCTCCCTCTGTCCCCAGTACTGCCATTGCCCAACTCAGGGCTGAAGGCAACACACCCAGGCCTGTCTTTTGTCCAGCAGGGACTCTCTCTCTCTCTTCTGGATCATTTGATAGTGTTGACACAAATAATTAAATGCCCACTAAGCCTACCATTGTTAGGAGCATTCCTAGACCAGAATTCCTTCCTGCAGCTCTGTGTAAGAAGGTGGATGAGGTCAGGTCACCCTTGGGACACTGCAACTCCAGAATTATGATGAGGTTTTCACAGCTCAAGAAAAATCAAGGCATTAGAGCCTGAACTCTGATCCAGAAGAGTTCCCTTCCCAGACCACTCACAGAGATTCCCTTCAGCTTCAGACACTCGGTGCCTGTGAGCACCTGTGTGTGTGGTGTGTGTGTGTGTGTGTGTTTGTTGATGGGGCAGGGTGCTGTTGTGTTGCCCAACAGAACGGAGTGGAAGTCTACTCCCTACCTCACCTCCTCTCCCCACACCTGCCTACCTTCCTGTCAGCTGCCTTGAAATACAGGAAAGTAGCTGCCATTATAAAGTACCTTCCCTATGCTTTAGCTGACACTAAGTGCTTGGGAAATGTGTCCATTTCAATGCAAGCAACCTTTTGGAGCTGAGCCAGATTCTCACCCTTGGTGGAAGAACAGCGGAGGAAAGTTAAGGACTGCGGGTGGCAGACAGCTGACCCAGGGTCACAGAGCTGGAGCCCTGCCCAGGTGAACCTGTGACCACCCAGGCTCTGCGCCACCACACTGCAGACTTTCCTCCCTGGGGTCCTTTCCTCCTTCCCTGGTCCCCAACAGATCTCTGGTTCTTCTCTTGACCCCCCCCAAGCCCTCCCTGAACATGCCACCACTGTGTTTATTCATACACAAAGACTTTTTCAACCCAAACTGGCTTTAATGAGATTTGTTTTATAAATTAAAAGCACATCTAGCAAAGAACAAGACAAGAGAAAGGATCCACACTGGCCTCCCCAAAGTGCCTCCACTCTGACCAGTGGGCCCCTTCCATAGGCCTAGTCCATGAGCACGGCTGACCCTCCCCAGAGCCTATCTTTCAGCCTTCTTTGTTCTGGGGCTTGTCATCCCTTGATGCCTCTGGTCCCCTAGTCTTAAATAGGCCCCTCCCACCCTCTGGTTCTTGCTGGTTATAACTGGTTTGGTTTTCAATGCCACCGCCCCATGAACCTATCAGCAACTGTCTCAGGTGGAGCCCTCTGACTTGACCCCTGCCCTGTCATTCCCTACTCTAGAAAGCCCACAGTCCCAACCCCCCGAGGTCCCACTCTTCTGGACCTGGCTGTACAGAGCCGTATCTGAGCTGTGGCCCTTGCTGCCACTGCCACCTGTGGTACCAGCCTCAGGAAGGACGAAGACCTGCGGCTTGGGAGCAGGAACAGGTTTGGAGCTTCGAGGAGGTGGCACAGCATAGTCATCTGTGGCAGGGTTGTAAGGGAGCTCATAGCCCTCCTCCTTCACCCGAGCCTGGCACCACCACGCATCCTTAGGCTCCTGAGGTAGATCGTAAAGGCCCCGGGGAGGGGCTGGGGCCAGGCCCTCAGGTTCATCATAGATGGGGTCCTCTTTGGAGTCTGTCAGCTTGGCTTTCAGCAACTGCCGCTGCACATGCCCATACAAGTCCCAATAGAGAGGTTTCTTTGAATGCAGCCCCTCCCCTGCCCTAGCAGGGGTGCTGCCCAGAGGGTCTGAGTATAGAGAGTCCTGAGAAGGGCCTGGGGGAATTCGCAAGGAGTCTAAAGGCTCGGCATACAGGGCTGGGGGGCTGCCCAGGGGCTCCTGTGGAACAGGAGGGGAAGCCACCTTCCCCTCTGCCTCTCCTTCATGGGAGTCAGTTCTGAGGATGTCTTGGCCCTGTCCCACCTTTCCTTGGGCTTTCTGCTTCTGGATGGCAGCCTCAACTGCCTGAAAGATGTCATTTCCCTGTGCAGTCTGGAAGGTGAAGGTTCCGGGACCAGAGGGGCAGCGGCGACCCGCTTCAAAAGAGAACATTACCTGAGGGTGTGGAGGGAAACACGTTAGGGGTGTCATAAGAGGTGAGTCACAGGTCTGACCAAGTTAGTGTATCTGTGGAGAAGAGACCACCTGGGAATGGAATTGACCATCTGCAGCTAGCCAACCCTATGTCCTCCCTGACAGTCATCCTCCCAGAAAGCCCCTGCACCTTGTCCCGGCCATAGCGTCGCAACAGAGTGTAGGGCCAGGAAAGGAGCGGCTCCAGGATTTGACTCTGGGCCCCCAAAGTCAGGAGGGTCAGCTTCTCAGCCTCCACCCTCAGTATATAGGAGCCTTGCAGGCTGCAGCGTTCAGAAGCCTCAGTCTTCTGCGTGGTTACCCAGAACTGGGAGCCTGGAAGGAAGACACAGAAAGGGGAAGGAGCGCTGGGGCAGGTTAGGGACTTGGTAGACCCCAATCGCTAGCTCCCCAAGAGCACATCTTCTCCCCACTCCATTCATGCCAGCCAGCTACCTTCCCAGGTGGGGCTGTACAGGGAATTCTCCAGCATCTCCAAGGCAGAAAACTTAGGTGGGCTCTCTGTCTGCGCCAAAGCCCAGCCGCCTTTCTGCAAGAAAAGGAACACCGAGAACTATATATATATATATATATATATATATATATATATATATATATATATATATATATATATTTCCCTTGGGTCTGGAGTAGGTGCAGGAGGTCCAGTGCCGCCCCATTCTCGTAGTGCTTCTTAGGCCCGGGGCCGCTCACCCCCAACCCCTCACCGGAAAAGCGTTTCTGCATAAAGTCTGCACCCAGGCGGCGCTGGACGGGGCGTCCGCCGCCAGCAGGTGCGAGCGCTGCGCGGTGTCCAAGCGGAAGGCAGTGGCGCCGGGTTCTGGGGGACTCTCCACTGACACAGGGGCCACGCTCACACACTCAGCCAGGCGGATCATCTTGCAGTCCAGACGGCGAGAGCCGCCTCGACCCCCTCCAGAGCTCGACCCCTTGTGGTCAAAGAACTCCAGACGCGCTACGCCGTGAGGACTAGCTGGGTAGAGCACAGCCCAGGTTTTCCTCCACCTCTGGGGAAAAAAATGAAAGACGCGGGAGTTCGTGGCAGCACGCCCCCACGGGGAAGGAAAAATACACGCAGGTCGATCTGAGTCTGGGGCTTCCAGGCAGGGACACTTTCCCAAAGATAATGCCATCCCAACTCCTCCCCAAGAAGGGCACAGCCTGGGGCTTCAAGGGAACGTCATGGGGCTCTACAATTGCCGGAGCAGCGTTCCGACCTGCTTCCGGCCCCTTTCCACTTTCTGGATACTTTCACCGACTTCTAGTCCAAGGGGGTTTGGCCATCCCCCACGCCACACACAAACACACGCACACGCTACCTTGGTCCCGAAGCGCTGACTCTGTAGAAAGAGCGGACCCTCCATCACAGCCCCGTCCATGGCCCCGGCGGTTCCTTCCCCGCTTCCTGGCCCCGAGGGCGGGGGGCGGGGCGGGGCGGGGCTGCAGGGTGCCGGAGGCGTGCCCGCCCCTCCCGGGCCCCTGCGGCAATGATGGGGGATGGAGGAAGAGGAGCCAGCAGGAAGAAGTCGCGGTCCCCAGATAAGCCGACTGGGGCCTTTTATCCTACCGTTCGTACAGTGGCGCCACTCAGGGAAGCCGTGATTGTCAGCTAGAAGGCCCTGGTGCCTGGGAGGTGGGGGGCTGAGGATGACGTCATACGCTTAACCTGACATCAGAGTGAAGGCCGTGACATCACCCGTAGGCACCCCGGGGGCACTGCAACGACCAAGGGGGACCTGCTCCCATGACCCAACCCTGGAGTTGAACTGAACTGTTGATACTCTGCCTAACTTGGGATGTGAAGGAACTAGTCTAGGGGCTGGAAAGTTTCTCGCTGCCACGGGGGCCGATCCCGAAATCGTCTGAAAGTCCAGCATCCTGACGGCGGCTGTCCGGTCTCCAACCTGCGGGAAAAGAAAGCTTCTTTGAGCCGGCAGCGGGAGGGTAGGGGGGGGACGGCCGCAGTCAGCTCCACGGGGGAAGGGAAGATCTAGAGGAGGGACTGGCCAGGCTGGAATGGAGGGAGAAAGCGGAATGTGGGAGGGCTCTAGGGGACGTGGGAGGGACCAACGAGGAGGGGGGAGGAAAGGGGGGTCCAGTCTCCCCTGGCCGAACAATTTTTTTTGGGAAGTCCTAAAACTAATCTCCAGGACCAGGACTCTGCTTCCAGCCTCTGGAGCTCTGCCTAGGCGAAGAAGGTAGGGGAGTCACTGCCGGCCGAGAGGAAGAGTAGTTGGGGATGGAGAGGATGGTGGACCAGAGGGAAAGTTGATTTGGGATGGAGTCGGGGAAGCCAACCAACCGACAGTTGTATTATTGCTAAAGGAGCGGAGCAGATATTGGGGATGGAAGCTTCAGGGTGCAGTCGGGAGGCCCTAAACCGAACACTAGGGCTTCCAAGCCAAATGCCCCCAGAACAAAGCTGTCTTGTCTGAGTTAGGGGAAGCAATTCTGGGGGCCCCCTTGCTGTGGAGGGCTGTTTTCAGCCTTGGGTAGAGAAGGCCTAAGCTAAGGAGCCAGCCCTAGCTTGTGGTTGCCCGGTGACAGAAACAGCAATGTTACACCAAACCCTGCCCAGCTTGAACCTAGCTCTCCTGGAGCGCCCGCCAGACCCTGCAGGGGATTTGTGAGCCCATGTGCTAGGGAGGGCGACTGAAGGTTCTCCTACTCTGTTGAGTCTCAGCCTTTCCTGCCTGGGCAACTGCTAATAGTCCTCTCATTCATACTTCTGAGATCTGTTCTCCCAGGCTCCCCCTGCCTGTACTGCGGGCTGAGTCTGCCTGCTGCCTGGCTCATCCTGTCATTTCTCCTATGCCTGCACGGTGGCTTTTAGTCCCTCTCCTCATGGTTTGTGCCTCTCTGTGTCACTCTCCAATACTATGTCTATCCATATTCAATGTCTCTCACCCTGTGTCTTTCTGGTTTTCCCCTCCTTCCCACAGTCTCCCTTCCTCTCACATCCTGTCTGTCTGAGTCATCCTCTCTATCTCTCTGTTTGTCTGGACCACCCCACACCCACCCCGTGTGATGGGAGCAAATGGAGACCAAGGTGATAATGGTCACAGTGGTCAAGCTGGGGAAGAGCTTGTGGGACATAACAACAACAGTTGTATTGTTTGCAAAGGGAGAGCCTCCCTCCCTCAACCCAATCTAGGTCTCTAAGGCTGTGTCTATTTTCTCTATGTCCCTACCCTCATTTAGTGTGTGTCTCCTCTCTGTCCCTTAGTGCCCGCCCCCTCGTGTCCTGCCTGCCATGAGACCTGTCAGTGTGTGGTATTACTGCTCATGGGGGCTGCTGCTGCTGCATTGGCTATGCGGCTCCAGTGTGGGGTCTCCATCCCCTTCCACTGACCCAGAGAAGAAGGTGGGAAGCCAGGGGCTGAGGTTCCGGCTGGCTGGCTTTCCTAGAAAGCCCTATGAGGGCCGTGTGGAAATACAACGTGCCGGTGAGTGGGGCACCATCTGTGACGATGACTTCACGCTGCAGGCTGCCCATGTCCTCTGCCGGGAGCTGGGCTTCACGGAAGCCACAGGTTGGACCCATAGTGCCAAATATGGCCCGGGAACAGGTGAGCAATGCCCTGGGCTAGCCCAGATGTTACCTAAGTGCAGTTCAAGTACAAAGAGAAGAACTCCATGATGGCACAGCCACAGGGACATGGGACACCAAGAATGGATAGAATTAAGTAAATGCACAGATAATAAACCATCTACTATAGTAATTTCTGGGCCGTATGACCTGAAGCTGGCCCATGCTTCCCATGAGCCTCCAATGTTTCCTGTGCCCAAAAAGGAGGGGATTGGTAAGTCCTCCTCTGCAAAGTAAGATTCTGCAGAGCCATGCACAGGAACAGCCCAGTGCAGGTGAACCCTGAACGATCCAAGTGCAATTAATGTGATGAGAATGTGTGAATGAGCAGGTGAATGGTGTCTACGTGTCCCATAGCCAGAAGGGGTCATATACAACAGCTGACAAAATCAGGACCCGTCCTAGGGCTACAACCAGCAAGCTGAAACTCCTGTGACTCAAGAGGGAATGTGAGGGTTTAGGCCCGGTCCTCTGAGGCTGGAAGTGCTCAGCCCACATGGAGCCGGAGTGGGATTGACCAGCAGATGCACTAGATATGCATGCATGCAGCCTGCTGTTTGCTGACTCCCAGGTCCACTAGCTCTACCACTTCTGAGATCAAGGTCACTTGGAGAGTGACAGCCACACTTGGAGAGGGACAGTAGAAAGTGAAATGCTGGACTAAGGGTGTGGCTCAGAGGTCGAGTGCTCTGCCCTGCTCAGTCCTCCAGAGAGAAGGAGGGAGCAAAGGGGAGACAGACAGGGAGAAAGGTGAAGCCACTTTCAGAAGCCACGTTTCAGGGGGAGTGGCAAAAAAAAAAGTCTGGCACAGAAACAAACAAACAAGCCTCAGTCGGTAATTATGCATGATGGTTGTGTTCAGATTCAGGAAGGACAGTCGTGGCTGAGAGGCTTTCTGGGTGGCACCAAAGGACTGAATCAGACCTGGTTGGGAAAGTTGTAAAAACCCACAAGGACTTTTTGATGGTTGTGTGGCCTGGTGGGGCAGAAGAGGTAGCTCTGTTAGACTAGGTGAGGTACCTTTGAGGATGTCCCTCCCAGTTCTGAGTGGTCAGTGATACTCAATATGACCTAGAAAGTAAAAATAGGGTCTCTGTGGCCGCATGCAACATAAGCACACAGAAAATGCCACAGGGAGCAATGCCAGAGTGAAGTAAAAAGAATCTAAGATTCCCAAGTCTTGGTGAGAAACCAGACTCTTAGGTGCGTTACATCATTTTTGGAGCCCCAGGCTATTTACATAAAGTATCCTCCTGGCAGCTCTAGTCTAAGAATGATTAAGTATGAACATACTAGGCACATATTAGGAACTTAATTATAGCTATTATTGAATGAATCCTTATTGATGAGAATTTCAATGTCCATTCTTGGTTGTTCTTGTTTTTAATTCACCCTAATTGACTTTTCAGTGTCCCAGATGACCACCAACCTTGTGTCAACCTTATACCCTCTTTCCTCTTCACCTCAGAGTCCCTTGCCCCTTCTCCATCTCTTTCTCATCAAAAAGGGGGGGGGTTGATCCTCAAGGCCACATGAGGCCACCATGTCCCTCTCTAGCCCCATCACTCCCTCTTCCTTTTTCCTCAAGCACGTCTCTGTCTGCTCATCTCCCTTTCCACAGGCCGAATCTGGTTGGACAATCTGAGCTGCAGTGGGACTGAGGGAAGTGTGACAGAATGTGCCTCCCGGGGCTGGGGAAACAGTGACTGTACCCATGATGAGGATGCTGGGGTCATCTGCAAGGACCAGCGCCTTCCTGGCTTCTCAGACTCCAACGTCATTGAGGTCTGCAGTACACACACACACACACACACACACACACATACCAAAAAGGCTGTGGAGTAGCCATATGTGGTTAGAAGAGATATTATAAAGGGATCCCATAAACCTTTATAGGTATATGTGGATTTCTGGGAAACTTGGAAGGTGGGGGCAAATGAGGTGTTGCACTACAAAATCCAATTTAAAACAAAATGTATACGGGTGTTTTGCGGTCATTTGTGCCTGTGCACCCTGTGCATACCTAGTGCAGGCAGAGACCAGAAAATTCCACTGGATCCCATGAAACTGGAATTGTAGGTGGTTGTGAACTGCTGTGGGATCCTGAGAATTGAGCCCCCGGTGCTCTGGAAGAGTTCTAGTCCCCCAAATCCAGTTACTAAACCTGGTATGAGCCTCTCCAGTTTCATTCCTGGTCATCTGTCCTTCTCCTCCAGTGCTCCTGCTCTCTTTCAATGTCTTTCTTACTGTCTTCTCCTCCTAAGACACTTCCATTGTGAAGCTGGCCTCCTGCTTCAAGCAGACTTAACGATAGCTTCCCTTTCTCAGTGCCTTCGGGCCCCGTTACTATTTCTTCTGAATGGCATAGTCTGCCACAATCACACACTCTAGTCTGGGGCACATCCCCCCAGAGAGGCAGCTGGCTCAGCATCGTCCTTAGCCTTGTCTGGGGGGGTCCCACCATTGGGCTTTACAGCAGACGCAGCAGTGGGGGCTCCTTCAGGGCGCCACAGCATTGCTACTGGGATTCTTTCCCCTTTCTCTGGTCCGTCTCAGGTGGAGCATCGCCTGCAAGTGGAGGAGGTGCGACTCCGACCCGCTGTGGAGTGGGGCAGGCGACCCCTGCCTGTGACTGAGGGCCTGGTTGAAGTCAGGCTTCCAGATGGCTGGTCGCAAGTGTGTGACAAAGGCTGGAGTGCCCACAACAGCCATGTGGTCTGCGGTATGCTGGGCTTCCCTGGAGAAAAGAGAGTCAACATGGCCTTTTACAGGTGCGGGGCCTCAGGGCTGTTTGCAGACTTTGGAGAGGATGAGGGGTACTGTGGGAAGCCCATATCTAAGGGAGGGAACGCAGGTGAACTGCTGTGACACAGGAGGCTGCGAAACATCGTAGGCTCTCCTACCCAAGGCTGATAGGCAAGCAGCAGAATGCGAGTGCGTGCCGGTGACGTCATCGGTCGGCGGGCAGATTTCTGGAGCCTGGGCGCTGGGGCCTCTCGAGTTCAGAGTTTACAGAGGGTGCGGCTGGGCCGCCTGCGGGAGGCGGTGCCTGAGGTGCCTTCGTGAGACTGCGCCTGGGGCCTCAGAAACTGTGACTGGCTAGCGCCGAGTCACCCACCCTAGTGAACGGTTCTGTGCAAAGGGCGGCTTCCTTCCTGAAGTATCTCGTTTAGCAGTTTGAATAAACAGGCCGTGCTAGCCAGGCAGATACTTGGAGATCTGTCCAGTGTCAATCTGCATCCTGTTTTGCAGACCCAAATGATCGCTTTCTTCAGCTCTTAAGCATTTCACTTGTCAACAGGCTTCTTGCCCGCTACATGACTTCCCATTGAGCACACTGCATAAGATGTGACCCAATGGGGCAAGGTGTTGTAGAAGTGCCAGTCTTTGAAGAACGTTGGCGTTGGCCTCGAGTTGAGGCAGAAAACCGTTTCAGGTCTTACCTCTAATACGGATAAAGCTGCCTTTTGAACCTGAATATATGTTGGGCAGAACACGGCCGTAATGTAACCAATATTTCATTCTCTCATCTATAATGAAGTTTGGTAGACTTTTGTAGTCTTTGCTAAAATCCAGATAAGCTGTGCTCACAGCAGTCTCCAGCCTCCAAGTTTAGTAATCCTCCATCGAAGGCTATCATAGTGGCTTGAGTGCAATTTTATTATTTCAGTAATTTTAGATTGCCACGTTTCTTTATATGCTCACAAACTTTCTGTGTAGCAGCTTACTCTTGAATAGCATTTATCTACAGAGTCAGAAAACTTTCTAAAGTCAGTCAGTACAGTCTCTGATATCCACTCATTTCCACACATGCTGGAATTTTCTTTGTTGTGGTGCCCACACACGTGCAAAAGTTCTTTTGGGTTCTAAGGGATGCCGTTGAGCTGTCAAGACTAACACCACTTTACGAGAGGTGTGTGCCTACCTTTAACGTCATCCAGGCTCTGTCTTTCAGAATTCAGATGCCAGGTTGTAGAGCAGGTGCAGGGTTTAGAAGAGAAGAGGGCGGAGTGAGCCAAAGCCTAGGGAGTCACTCATCCAATGTCCCGCCCTGTGCTGGCTTCTATTGCTTCTATTGTAGACTTCGGAGCTTCCACAGCGAACACAAACATTCTTCCTCTGGGGACCAGGGGACAACCAGAAAATAAGTGAATTTATAAGACGGAAGGATGGTAGTGCTCCGGTGGCTTCTATCAGAACAAGGTTCATGGCCACTTACTCAAAGATTGAAAGCAAAGCAGGGAAGGATGTTACCCAAAGGAGGTTTGGCGCAGAGAGGCTGCAGGAGAGCAGCAGCCACCTGAGCTACAGTGCTCCAGGACACCCGGCCACTGCCCAGGGCTTTCCTCCTAGGGTCAGGAAGAAGGAACTGGTTGTTAAGGGATGAACCATGGGCAGTTTACTCTTTTGACTGGCAGGCTTGGGTTATATAAGCCTTTGTTTACTGTTCATGTCTCCCCAGGAGGCATCTGATTTTAATCATAAGCATACCCAATCATGCATAAGCATGTGATGGTGTATTGGAGCCTTTCCCTAAAAGTATATTCAGAGAACGAAGTTTACCTCCTTGCACTGGCTTTCAGCCTAAGCTGAATAGATTCACTGCCCTAGTTCCTGAATATGTTCCAAGATGTATTTGCTCCAAAACGGGAGTTACTAAGGGTTGCTAGGTCAGCTGTATGCCAGACTGACCCAATTGCTTTGCTTAGAGACAGGTGTACATGCAACAAGATGCAAGTGGGGGTTCCAGAGTGCTAAGTGTTCTGTTGAGAAAGGGGGTGTGTATGAGTATGTAGCTCAAGCCAACTGAGTACCAGCTCGCTAAGCTGTCCCTGTGCTTGCCTGCCTCAGTAGTGTGCACCTGTCATTCTTGTTTTTGTTTGAGACCATGTCTCATGTATCCCTGGCTGGCCTTGAACTCCTGACCCTTCTGCACCCACCTAAGTACTGAGGTTATAGGTCTGTATCGCCATGCCCATGTATGGCATTAACCACATTTCTAATCATTACTTTGACTTTGAGTTGCTTTATGCTATCTATTATTATGTACACATGCGCTCCTGTCCGTGTGTGTGCATGCGTGCACTGGGGTGCATGTGGGAAGCCAAAGGAAACTTTCAAGGGTCAGTTGTCTCCTTCCACACTGGATTCCTGGAATGGCAAAAGCTTTTATCTACTAAGCCATCTTGCCAGCCATTAATTGTTCCTTTGATTGTATTATTCTTTGCTCTTTTTTAAAGGGGCGCGCGCGCGCGCGCGCACACATAGGCCAGAGGTCAACTTAAGGTGGTTTTTCTTTATTAAATTGTAAATGTGCACTACCGTGCCCAGTTTTAGTTGTATAATTTTGAAACTTTTTTTTTTTTTGGTTTTTCGAGACAGGGTTTCTCTGTGACTTTGGAGGCTGTCCTGGAACTAGCTCTTGTAGACCAGGCTGGCCTCGAACTCACAGAGATCCGCCTGCCTCTGCCTCCCAAGTGCTGGGATTAAAGGCGTGCGCCACCAACGCCCGGCTAATTTTGAAACTTGTTTTGGTGTTCTAGAATATGTGAAAGCTTTAGAATTTTAAAAGAGGAAAAAATGTATAGCTCTCAGAACTCTTTGCTGCTCTTGTGCAGGTGAAGCTCTAAGAGCTTCAGTGTTGGTGTAAGAAGACACTTCTTTGTAAAAGACAGTCTCTCAATGTAGCGGTTTGAACACGCGATCCCTCTGCCTCAGCTTTGAGTGCTGGGATTGCAGGCTTTTTCCCCGTGCCTGATTTAAGAGGCCACTCTTTCATTCATGTCACTACGATACATACTCACTGACCTCCGTGCAAGGTGTGGAGAGTACAAAGACGATAAATGAAGAGGGAGGTAGACAGGCACCAGATCATGGATCCATAGGCCATGCCAGACCTTCCTAATAAAGCTAATGAGGAAAAGACAGGAAAGTGGTTGGTTGTTTGTGGGAGGAACAGGGTCTCTACGTAGCCCTAACTGTCCTGGAACTCACTATGTAGACCAAGCTGACCTCAACTCACAGAGATCCACCTGCCTCTGCTTCCCAAGTGCTGGGATAAAGTTGCTACCACATCAAATGATAGTAAAATGTTTCAGTGAAGCTGTGCGTGATGGTATGCACCCATAAGCCCAGCAGCCTGGAGCCTAAGGCAGGAGGACCTGGAATTCTAGGCCAACTTGGAGACCCTGTCCTCAAACGAGAAGGAAAATGTGTTTTAATGAAGAGGTCTGTGAGATGACATGATCAGGCTGTGGCTCTATTTTTTCAGATGAGGTTTTTTTTTTTTCATAATAAAATAATTATGGGGCTGGAGAGATGACTCAGTGTTTAAAAGTACTTGCTGTTCTTTCAGAGGATTTGAGTTAGTTCCCAGATCCCACATCAGGTCTTGAAAACTCTTACAACTCCAATTCCAGGAAATCCAATGTCTCCTGGCTTCCATGGATCCCTGCACACACATGCATATATACCCACACATACACACACACACACACACACACACACACACACACACACACACACGCATGCATGCCCACGCATAGACAAACACATGTAAGTAAATGTAAACCTTCAAATAACTACTTTAATAAGATAAATACCTTTTAAAACAATTAGAAGCTGGATTTGTAGCATGTGCCTTCAAGGTCATCCTTGGCTACCTGTTGAATTTGAGGCCTGTCTCGGCTACATAGTGAGACCCATCTCAAAAAAAGAGCTGGAGATATTGCTCAGCAGTTAAGAGCACCGGCTGCCTTTCCAGACCACACAAGTTTCGGGTCCCAGCACCTACACAGTGGTTCACTGCCAACTGGAACTCCAGTTCTGGAACTCTCCCATGCCCTCTTCTGACCTCTGCAGTTACCAGGCATGCTCATGGTGCACAGACATACGTGCATGCAAAACACCCATACACATGAGGCCACATTCACAAAAAAGTTAAAACAAAAGTCATGCCTGGTGACAGCACGTGTTTGTAATCCCAACCCCTGGGAGGCTCAGACAAGAGGATTACAGGTTCAAGGCCAGCCTGGACAACATTCAGGGGAAGAAAAGTAAATAAATAAAAATAATATCCCAGCATACCTTCACACAGTATACTGTGTCAAAATATGTTAGTACTCTAAGAAATGGCAGGGCAGGAACATGGACGAAGAAAAGATAACCAAGGACACAGCAGGAAAAGCCATGAACCTCTTTTAAAAACAGATGAAGTCTGCACTCACCAGGCACAGTGGTTCCATCCGATCCCGGTGTCTGTGACCCAGAGGCAGGAGAATCAGCACTGCTTCAAGTTATAGGCCAGGCAGGGCTATTCATTAAGACGTTATCTCAATTCTGTCCCCACCTTACTGCATGACCCCCACTGCCGCAGCCAAAAGGCATACATAGTATTGGGCAGGACAAAGAGTGACCATAATTAAAGTCTTTAAAGCTAAAGAGACAATGAGGAGAAATTGAATTAAGGAAACCTGCTGGAGAAGGAAGTGAGTCAGTTTTTGAGGCCAGTTTAAAAGATTGACTTCCCTGCAAACATGTTGGGGGTGAGCTCAGCTTGTGAGTGACCAGGCAGATGGGACTGGACCATGGGCAGGAAGAAGACTCACAGCCACACCAAGCTAATGTCCTCAAGTATGTAGTCCTCCATCCCTGGCGCAGCAGTCTCAGCCTAGACAGGCCAGAGGCCTTCCTTGGAGAGACCATCCAAGAATCACACACACACACACACACACACACACACACACACACACACATGCACACGCACACATGCACGCACATGTGTGTGCAGAGGAGTAAAAGAGGTGCGGTCAGCCTCCTGAGGCCTGACCCAGGCTAGTTCTCTGTCCTCCAAATCCCAATGCTCCTCTCTGTAGTCAGGCTTTCCTTTTGGACCACCAGCTCACAAATAACGACATATAGACTTGTTATTAATTATGAAAGTTTTGCCTTAGCTTAGGCTTTTTCCCAACTAGCTCTTATAACTTAAATTAACCTGTTTCTATTAATCTCCATTCTGCCGTGTGATTTGGTTACCTCTCCTTGTACTGTATATCCAACTTTTGCAGTCTCATATTTGCCTAGATTCATCCCGAGTTCCTCTCTTTGCCTAGAAGTCCTGTCTATTCTCTCTGCCTCGCTATTGGCTTTATTAAACCAATCACAGTAACACATCTTCACACAGTGTAAACAAATATTCCACAACACCCCTCTTCTGGCCTCCCCTGAGGTTTTCCACCAACCTCCAGTCCAGAAACTCCATTCCTCATCAGTCTTTTTTTTTTCCCTCAAGACAGGGTTTCTCTGTGTAGCAGCTCTGGCTATCCTGGGACCCAATTTATAAACCAAGCAGGCCTCAACTCAGAGATAGACATGCCTCTGCCTCCCAAGTGCTAGAGTTAAAGTTGTGTGTCACCACTGCCCAGTCCAGCTCATCTGTCTTGATCTACAGACTGGGACACTGTTCTGCGTCTTTGGCTTTTACTGGGGCTCACCCACCTGTTCATGTGCTAGGATAGCCTGTAGGACCTTGGAAGTAGCTGATGACATCACACTACTCTTGGAAGCTGTCTATTAGGGAAGGAATCTTTCTCCTGGTTGTGGCTGCACTGGCGTTTTCCACTTGGTTCTACAGCAATCCTGACTTGATCTTGTCTTATCCTCACAGAAAGTTAAGGAAGCGAGCGGCCAAAGCCTCGGCCCGACACCCCAAGCCCCTTGGAAGGTAAAGGGGCAAGAGCCCCGGGACCTCCTGCCAGTCCCTGAGGCCTCAGGAGGTGGATGGATGGAAACCTGTCCATGTCCATCCCAGAACCCAATCCCATGGACTAGGGATGTATTGAATAATGGCTGCTCCCAGGGGAGGGAGGGAGGCAAGCATGGAATGGGTGAGCTTTGATCTCAGGGGATGGGAGCAGCTGAGGAGATGCTAAAAGGTCTTCC